TCATGCTGTGGCAGATTTCAGCACCAACACGCTGCTTTCCACTAGAAACAGAACTAAAGCATGAGTCACCCGTCAAATCAAAACTGCATCCCCGCAGTGGGATGGCAGGAAGGTGTAATCAAACTGTCCTGGTGTGTGTTGAGTTGCATGAGGCTTGTGGGGGGTGTGGGGGGGAATCACAGGCTTTGATACCAATAGCTAGAGCTCAACACAAAATGTTTTCTTTGTTTTTTTGTTTTGTTTTTTTTTTTAATTGTTGTTTTGGATGCGATGTAATTTTTTTTTTTTTGTACCAGATAAGAACATGGCCGTTAAAAGAAAAATAAAAACCACAATATGCAGAGACAAAATGCAGCTGAGTTTAATGGCCCCCAGCACTGAACTTTGTTCTTCTCCTGGGTCCTGGCGGGTGGGGGGGACTGAAGCAAAGGCAGCAGCAGTTGCTTTTCTTAGCAAATTTGTTTGAGACGGGTTCATAGATAGCCCAGGCTGTCCTTAAACTTAATTTGTGGCCAAGGATAACCTTTAACTCCTGATCCTCTTGTCTCCACCTCTAGAGTACTGGGATGACCTGCGTTTGCTTAGCTTGTTAAATGCAGATTTTTTTTTTTTTTAGTGTGAGAGAGAGCATGCATGATGGTGTGTGTGTATGTGTGTGTGTGCGTGCACGTGCGCGCGCGCCTGATTGTGTGCATGTGTGCCCTTGTGTAAGGGCCAGCAGACAAGCTCGGTTGCCACCCTCCGCCTCCCTTGAGACGGGCTCTCTCATTGCCCCGGAGTTCACCAATTAGGTTAGACTGGCTGGCTAGTGAGCCCAGGGAACCTGCTGTCTCCGTCTCCACTGACTGACGGCTAATTTCAGTTGTAAGCTTGACTACATCTAGAACCAATAAAACCCACAATGCTGGGAACACCATGAGGGACTTTCTTCGTTTTTTTTTTCCCCTCTTGTGAGCTTGAGGCAGCATCTCACTGTGCATAGTCCTTAGCTGTCCTGGAACTCATGCGCCGGGCACATCAAGCCGCCTAAGGGCTAAATGCCTCCTCTTTCAGGATAATGGGATCCAGAGAGAGGCAACGGAGTCCAAGTCAGACACAGCCTCCACTCCAGTCCTTAGGGGACCCACTTGAGGACCAAGTTAGCCCGTCAGCTTCCTGTGTGCAGGGAACCTAATGAGGCGTTTTGTTAATCGTGTTATTTGAAGTAGGAAAAGCCATCCTAAATCTGAGCCGCCTCTTCTAGTGGCAGCCCACACACAGGGAGGACGTGGGGGAAAGAAACGTGCTTTCGGCGCGCTTGCCCTCACTTTCTCTGGCAAGTTCATCTATCCTGTTCCTGTGGCCGGTATAAAATCCAGCTTCTTTGGGATTCCAATGCAGACGGAAAACCTGCAACTCTCTGGGAATCCTCCAGGACTTTAGTGTTGACTGGGGAAACCGAGACGTCCAGCTTTGTGGACCAAACAACTGGAATATTATGCCTTTCCATAGGCAGGCAGCCATTGCTAGGCTACTCGGACCACAGCCTGTGAGACAGGCTAATAAATCCTGTATGTGTGTGTATGTATGAATATATATGTATTTATTTATTTATTTATTGATCCAGTCAGTTCCATTCCTTTAGCTAATACACTGACTGACATTTCTGTGTGAGTTCTTGGGGCTTGAACACAGGTCCTCCTGAATGCAAAGCAAAAGCTTTCACTAACTGAACCATCTCCACAGCCCTAATTATTTTCACGAATGTTTTGATGCAAGTATGGCACTGTACGTCTGTGATCCCCGACCTGGGGAGGCAGAGGTTGGTGGGTCAAGAATTTAGGGGCGTCTTGGGGTACGAGGAGTCTTCGTCACACACAAAAGTTTTGGTAGGGACTGGGGATAGGATAGTTGGTATTATACAAGTACTTGCTCTGGCATGGATGATGTCATGGACTGGATGCCACCACCACCCCCGGCCATGGGGGGAGAGGGGCTTGAAAAATGTAGTATTTTGAGCTGACTAAAGGCATCAAAATAAATGATATTAGAGGAAACAAATGTTAAAGGCTCTTCATGTGTCCCCTTGTCATCACGTATGCAGGTCCTTCCTTGTCTTCTACCCTGAGTTCCTCTTTCCTGGTGTTGGAACTTGTGTCTGCCTCATGTCTGCCCAGTTTTTCTTGGAACTATGTCAGTTCTTTATAAAGTATTAAAGGGTGGGGGTGGTAATGTGTGGAAGCCCCGAGTTTCAGCCCTTCCTAGGCTACTGCTGAGCAGCTCCCAAAGCTCAAGGCGGCGTCTGGGTCAGTGCTGTCCTGCAGAACTTGGGGTGATGACGGACACAGTCGGTAGCTGCATCACTCACAGCAATAGCCACTGGCTACTGGTGACTGTCGAGTACCTGGCATGTGGCCAGAGTAGCCAAGTGAATTCTCTTTTTTTAAATTAGCATAGAAAGTAATAGGTTTTTATTATAGCATTTTTACACATAAATACCATTATATCTTTTCTTTTTCTGGTTGTCCCATTTCCTGTGTACCCCCTCTCCCCACTGATTCCCTTCCTTCCCCAGGTGCCCCCTCCTCATCTGCTTTCTTCTGACTCTTCTTCATTTTTGTCTTTGTCCTCTTTTTCTTCTTCTTCTTCTCCTCCTCTGCCATCGTTTCTGTTTGGTTTTGAGACAAGGTCTCATTATGTAACCCTGACTGGCCTAGGACTCACTATGTAAACCAGGCTGGCCTCAAACTCACAGGGACCCACTTGCCTCTACCACTTGAATCCTGGATCAAATCACGCGCTACCACACCTGGCTGTGATTCTTCTTCTTCTTCTTCCTCCTCCCTCTTCTTCTGTTGGTTTTTGTTTGTTTGTTTGTTTTTGCTTGAGACAGGGTTTCTCTTTGTGTAGTCCTGTTGTCCTGGAACTCACTTTGTAGACCAGGCTGGCCTTGAACTCACAGAGATCCACATGACTCTGCTTCCCAAGTGCTGGGATAAAAGGCATGCGCCACCACATCAGGCTTATGATCCTGCCTTTTAAGTTTCTGTATAAATTGTTTAAAGCTGCACTGGTTGAATTCTTTATAAGGAATCTTTCGCTCCATTTATGTCTTCCACAGGCAGAGGGCAGTTCATTTGAGCCGTATAAATTTAGTTTAAAAAACACTCAATAGGGCTATGAAAGAATTTTTAAAAATTGGTACAGAAATGATTAAAAACAAAACAAAACAACAACAACAAAAAACAAAACAAAACAAAAAAAAAAACGAACAAGCAAACACCCTGACGTCTAATTGCATAGATTCCACTTGAAAGTCACAGTGGTTGAGTATGAAAATGGGAGCAGTGGGCAATGAAAAGAAGCCACTTAGCACGAAGCAGTGATGGTTCACCCCAGCCAAACTGAGGCAATACAAAGGTGTGCTGAGGGTCACTCCATTCGGGTTTGGGCTCTCACAGTGCTCTGCAGGGTTCAGCACATCTGTGAACTCTTCGGGGGGCTTCTTGGTGGAGGAGTAATTCATTTCTACTGTTCACTTGTCTGCATAGAAGCCGAGCGATTCCTGGCTGCTCCCGCTACTGCTCTTCAGAAATCCCAAGTGTGTGACCAAGAGCATCACGGAAGTGCTCTCTCTGTAAAGGTCTTTTCTCCTATGAGCAGACACAAGAACCAAGCCTTGTTTCAGCTCCCGAGTACCCACAAGATTTGCAAAGATCAGCAGGGAAACAGACGACGCTGGAGCACTGACCATGCTGCCTGTTTATGAGTTTGCCTCTTGGGGAGCTCCACTCTGGCGCGGAGCTCCCCCTCCCCCACACTGGTGCTGAGCTGACAGGTGGGTGAAGCACTGAGCTTGAAACTCAGCCTGAAGATGCCCCCAGCCTGGTGTAGTCTGGGGTTTTTGCAGTAAAGCTATTCTCTTCATGTATGACAGGGCCATTGTGAAGCCGAGTGGCTGTAGTCACCTACAGAATCTCTTGGTTGGAAGTCATGGTGATGAAATCCATAAACAAGCGATGAGAGCCGGGTCTACGGCAGTGGCAGTGGGGGTGGTTGACCCATCAGAAGACTTTCACCTGAGACTCCAGCTGTGCCTGTCTCCTGCCCTACTGTGCCCTCATACTGGAGCAGAGGAAGTGGCAGGTTACTAGGGAGTTAGGATCACATCACTGGCAGTTTTGCAGTCACCCTGGTCCTGCAAATAACAACAGTAAACTCTTAGGCTCACCAAGCTGAGCTTGGACAGACTCGTTTGGTCTGTTGGCACGCTACCTCAGGTAAATGGATATTTCCTTACTTTTCCCCCAGGAAAGGTAACATAACAGGTGTAAACAAGCTTGCCATTTTTTTTTTCTTTTTGTCATCATGGTATTCATTGAATAAAACAAAGTCAGATTTAGAAACACTATTCAGTAGTTATGTGACACTAGTTGATGTTTTCAGGAAGAAAAATGTTTGTTATTGTCTTTTCCAACTGACTATGTCATTATGAACCTGCTTTAATGTAGAGGCAACCTATTAGCACAGGAGAAAAAATATGTAGACATGTTCATTTGTAGAAACTCACAGAAACAGCAGATTAGATTTTATGGGGTGTACTGCAGGTTACTGTTCTGCAATGTTCTTGACTTGGGTCTCTATAATATTTTTTATTTAAATTTAAAACATTTTTTATATCATTTAAAAAATGAATTATGGGCCAGCAAGAGTGCTCTGTGGGAGCTGGCTACCAAGCCTGACAACCTAAATCCAATCCTCAGAATCCACATAACAGAGGAGAGAAGCAACTCTGGAAAGCTGTTTTCTGACCTCCCTAGATACATTGTGGCATCCAAACTATGTACACAAGTATAATATAAATAAAATATTTAAAACTGTCACTTTTAAGATTCCATATGATGGTTATTTCCCCGACCACTGGAACTTTACAGTTTCAGGTAACAAAAGATAAAAATAAAAACATCGAAGACTAAATCTACTGATATGTACATACTGAACACGTTTAATGACCACAGCCATTAGCAAGCCCTGATGTCACCTCTTTGGTTCAGAACCTCACTCTCTGGGACTTCCCAGTTGTCCACAACGAGCGTATGGATGATGCCTTCTCTGCTCTTCCCACTGCTGACAGCCTTTATGTAACAGTTATGGCTCCCAACACTGAAGTGTGTTTCAGTCCTGTCTTCTACAAACACACCCTAGGACAGCAGAGAAGGAGGCCATCAGCACTGCAGAAACCTCTCTGTCTGAGTGGTGATGTCTTTTAAAAGTGCGTTATAATGAAGTAACGTGTTGGTAAAACGTTAAGCGCCATGTACTCAGAGTTTAAAGCTTGCGTTTGCATGCTTTTATGCTTCTGTTAGAAATTCAAAGTTTCTTTCCTCATATTCATTAATTGTTTTGATTTTTGAAGCAGGGTCTTATTCTGTAGCCAAGTTTAGGCTAAGACAGAACTCACTGTGTAGCCCAGGCTGACCTTAGTCTCCTGATCCTCTTGCCTCTACATCCTTAATCCTGTCTTTACAACAACCATGATACAAGTACTCTTATTATGCCCACTTTATAGAGGAGAAAACTGAGGCACATGAATTGAAAGTGCTACTCTGCGAGGACAGTGTTCCCAACCAGCTTAAAATCTGCTTCCTTTGGGGTATATATAATGTAATTTATAATAAAACGCACATGTAGTAACTAAAACTAGACACCACTAAATCTACCGAGTACTTGAAATGTGTCTCCTTAGAAATGAAATTCATACCCTCTGTTTAAAACATATAACTGATCTGAAACCTATGGTGAACCTATGAAGGTACAGAACTCACTAATAACTTCCTTTGTTGATTACTTATTAAATTATAAGTCTTTCCTTTTGCTTTCAGCAATAGGGTCTTATACCCAGGGGTAGGGTGCACACCTGTAATCCCAGTACAATCAGAGGCAGGAGGATCTCTGTAAATTCAGCGCCAGCCTGGTCTACAAAGCAAGTCCAGGACAGCCGGGGCTACAGCGAGAAACCCTGTCTCAAAAAACAAACAAACAAACGAAAGAAAGAAAGAAATAGGGTCTTATTCTGTAGCCCAGGCTGACCCATTATTATATGTAATTGTTATTAACTATGCAATCCAGGCTGGCCTGGAACCCATGGTAATCCTCCTTGCCTCAGTGCTCCAGTGTTCTCCCAACCAAATGTTGGGATTATAGATAGGAGTCTCTGTCCTTGGCTTAACAATCTTGATAAATTGATTTTAATTAAACATATTACAATTAATTAACTTTATTGTTTAAATTAAGTCTCATTTTAACTTTTTTTTTAGCATATTTGCTAAATACTCATGGAGACTTAATGCTCATGGCTTACATTATATTTCCGCTGAACAGCACTAATCTCCAGAAAGAAGAGGGGAACAAAACATCAAAGAGCCTTAGAGGAAGAGAGCCTTAGAGAAGAGTTTCTCAACCTGTGGGTTGCGACCCTCAGTCTGGGTTGCATGCTTTTCACAGTGGTGGCCTAAGACTATCGGAAAACATAGACGTTTACATTGTGATACATACCAGTAGTAAAATTACAGTTATGAAGGAGCAACAAACATAATAATATGGTTGGGGGGGGTCACCACAACCTGAGGAACTGTATTAAAGGGTCGCAGCATTAGGAAGGTTGAGAGGGCTTTAGACGATGGTAGAAAAAAAAAACATGCCAGCAAACAAGGAAACCACAACCAGTGTCTTAACGCTCATCTATGGACAGGCCAGGGTGCTCACTTAGCATGTATAACACATTGGAATTGATTTTTGAAAACTCAAACAAAATACACACACACCCCAACCCCCATCCATCCCCTTACTGGGAGCGTCACAGAGGCCAAACAGACAGAGCTCTTGAAGGAGAAGGGAGATGGACTGAACACTGGCCCAGACATATCTTTGGGTGCAGAGATCCCCGCCCCCTCTTTAATGAGCCTTTGGAGGGCAGAGCAAGGGTTAGTCACACAATCCTTGTAAATTGCTTCTTGGCTATTTGACGAGCATAATTTTGGTGATACCCCTTAGGGGTAAAAATGCAAATGAGAAGCCCACAGGGGGCCGGAGCACTTTACTGTAGGTGTCTCCAGACTGGGGCAGGTTGCTGCCATCGCCATGCTAGCCACACTGCTTAGCAACTAGGCTATAGTTGGGGGGGGGGGGGGAGAGAGAGAGAGAGAGAGAGAGAGATTCTAAAGAGCAGTTTTCCATGCTGGTTTTCTGCCAGTTACCAAGGAACAAAGGCACAGCAGATGAACACAATTTTTACCTTATTTAAAACCACTTTCTCCTCAGTGGTTGATATGGAACCCAGAAGCCTACACATGTTAGGTGTGCGCTCTGCTCAAGCACTGAACAACACTGTTAGCCCTCAAAAGCACATCCTCAATACCGATATACAACGTTCTTTTCCTTTACACCACAGAATTCCTTGAGACTTGGAGGGAACGTGGTGGCAGTTCTGACTCTCTGTCTAGAGGCTTGGGGGGTGGACATGGAGGAGAAGGACGACTAGGCCTGGTGCTAGGCCTACAGTGGGTACCTGACCCCATGCATGATAATGACTGATCTTCTGTAGGGGCCACATGGGCCTGGAGAGTTCTCTGGAATTACCAAAGCTTTACCAAAGCTTCTGTGAGCAGGTTTATTCCAGGGAAGGACTTAAGTTCTGGAGATAAAACCTGAGTGACTAGGTTACATCCGCCAGGCTTAAGAAATGAAAACGTTTTTATAATCCCAGCACCAGGGACGTAGAGGTGGGCAGATCTTTGGGAGTTCAAGGTTAGCCTGGTCTACAGAGCGAGTTCCAGGACAGTCAGAGCTGTTACACAGAGAAACCCTGCCTCTAAAACAAACAAACATCAAAAACAATAATAAAATAAAAATAAAAACAAAACACCTCACTTTTAGGTTAAAATCCATGTGCTTTGAGTATGTAAAACCTTCCTGCCCAAGTGTAATCTGTGGTCAGCAGCAATGGCAGCACAGAGGGGTGAAGGCTCATACTTGTAAATCATCAGTTCTCAGGGGCCTGCTCCACATGATTTCTAGAGGAACAAACAAAAAGGACCCCAGCTCTTGGGGGAGGAGCTTTTTAAACACGAGTACTTCTCAGGATGAAAGCCTAGCCAGGAAGAGGCCTGGTGGAATGTGTGGCTGTGCCAGCTCAGACTACAGATTGTTTCCAAACTCTCACTGCCCCCAAGGACTGTCTGGCAAAGATTTTAGAGCATAGAGTAAAGCATCATTGCTATGCCTTTTGGTTTTGCTAAGATAACTTTGGTTAGTTACAATAATCACCAGAATTAGAACTTGGCCGTGATGGCTCAGCACTTGCAAACCCAAGGCGGAGTAGGCTGAGGCAAGAGGGTTGAGATTGAGGTTAGCCCACGATACACAGGAGAAAAGAAGGACTAGGAAATGCAGCAACCTCTGGTCACGCATACACATGCGCAGGAATGGCTAACTTACCACGGTCTCTATTATTTTTCCATTGCACCATACGTCCATAGTATTTTTTTCTGTAAAAATAACAACATTTAAATGTTATAATTCTATATTCGGAGTTAACATCTTATATTTATTTTCATTTGTATGTGTACAGGTGTTTTGCTCGCATCTATGTCCATGTACCACATGTGTGCCAGGGGTCCACAGAGGCCAGAAGACGGTGCCAGATCCCCCCGGAGCTCTCTACCTCAAAGACAGAAAGAAAAACCTGGGAATGATGGCACACAGCTATGGCCTGAGCACTCAGGAGGTAGAAGCCGGAGGATGGCTTGGAACGCTGATCCTCTTGTCTGCACCTCTCTGGGCTTACAGCCATGCACCATAATAAACCCATTTGTTTGTGCTGTGGTAGAAGTAAAGGCGTCCTGAATGCTAGGCAAGCACTCCATCGAATGAACTGCAATCCCAGGGCATTCTATTCTCCCTCTCCTGTCCCCCTTCTTCTAAAACAGGGTCTTACTGTGTTGTACAGGCTGTCCTGGAGCTTATTGTGTACATCAAGCTGACCTCACACTTGGCAACCGACACTTCCACTTCCTCCTCTAGAGTAGAATGATTATAGGCAATGAGCTACCACTCCTGGATCAATAAGCCTTTTTCATTAAAAAAAAAAAAAGTTGTGCCAGAGTGGTGGTGCATACCTTTAAACCCAGCAGTTAGGAGGCAGAGACATGTGGATCTCTGTGAGTTCAAGGTCAGCCTGGTCTACAAAAGGAGTCTAGGTCAGCCAGGGCTATTACACAGAGAAAAACCTATGTCAACCCCCCCCCCCCAAAAAAAAAAAAAAAAACAAAAAACAAAAACTGCATTGCTATGCCTTTAATCTTTACGGTAATGTACCTGGGAGTGAGAGGCAGGAGGATTTCTGTGAGTTTGAAGTCAGCCAGGATGACACAGTGGGACCCTGTCTCAAAGGGGTGGAGGTCACTGAAGAGATGGCCCAGCAGTAAAGAACAGTTGCTATTGGAGAGGACCCAGGTTTATTCCCCAGCACCCAGATGGTGGATTTTAACTCTAGTTCTAGAAGATCTGGTGCCCTCTTCTGGTCTCAGCAGGCACCAGGCATGCAAGGAACACACATACATACATGTAGACATACAAACACATAAAAAGTAAAAATGGATAAATAAACCTTTTAAAAAGACTCTCAGTTTAACATCACTGCCACAGTGATATCTAATACTTTGTATGTTAATGTATGAGTTTTTAAGAATAAAAAAAAGCTATTTGCTATCATTCAGTTTAACAGTAGACTAGAAATGTCTGGATGTTTATATATTCTGTGTCTGATACACTAACTGCTATTTTTTGAGATAGTTAATAAGTATTATCTAAATAAATGAATCAGAGAATTAACATGATCATAATGAATTCACTTTAGTGATGGAAGTAGTAAGGCTAACCAGAAGCAAGGAGGCTAGCCAAAAACTATCAACTGGCTGAGTGCAGTGGTGCACACTCAGGGAGGCAGAGACAGGCCCATCTCTGTGAGTTTGAGGCCAGCCTGGTCTACAAAGTGAGCCCAGGACAGCCAAAGCTACAGAGAGAAACAAAAAACAAACAAAACAAAACAAAAACCCATGAGAAACAAAACTATTGGATAGGAGAGGTGGATCTGTGGGTAAAAAAAAAAATCACTATGGAAGCATGGGAACTTGAGTTGGAGTCCCTGGAACCCATGTAAAGTTCAGATAGGTCTGTAGTCTCAGTCCTGCTATGGTGAGACGGTAGACAGAGCCAGGAAAATCCCCTAAAGCTTGTGGACTAGCTAGCCTGCTGTATCAGTAGCAACCAATAGATGCTGTCTCAAACAAGGTAGGAAGCAAGAACCAACAGCTGATGCTGTCCTCTGACCTCTAGCCTAGGCACCACAGAGTGCTCACACTCAAGAGCACGCATTTTTACATTTATGCATACTTTATACACACAAGATAGACAATGCATCTACATGCGTCCTAGTTAACTTCAGCTGTCAAGTTGACACAACCTATAGTCATCTGCGGGAGCCTCAGTTAAAGAATTTCCTAGATCAGACTGGCCTGTGGCCAGGTCTGGGACAGGTTGTCTTGTTTATGGTCAGTGCAGAAGAAAAGAGGGCTGAGGGAGCAAGCCTGCAAGCAGTGCTCCTCATGATTCCTGCCTCCAGGTTCCTGCCTCCAGGTTCCTGCCTCCAGATTCCTGCCTCCAGGTTCCTGCCTCCAGATTCCTGCCTTGAGTTCTTGCCATCACTTTTCTCAAGATGGACTGTAACCTGTAAGCTAAAAGAAACCCTTTCTTCCTCCTGTTGTTTTGGGGTCACAGTTTTGATCACAACCAAAAAAAAATGAGGACAACATTAAAAAAAAAAAAAACACAAAACTTCGATCTCTGGAATTGATGGTTTTTATCTAATGAAGCCATATACTTATTACCTACAAAACAAAAATCTTACCTTATTAATAAACCTTAAGTTTCTAAATTTTTTTCTTTTCTTTTTTTTTTTTGAGACAGGTCCTGGCTGTTCTAGAACTCTCTATATAGACCAAGCTGGCCTCAAACTCACAGAGCTCTCCTGCCTGTCTCCTAAGTGCTGGAATTCAGGAATGGCTGGGTTTTGCATATGTTTTTTGGTATGTATGTCCACATACTTAGTGCCCTAGGAAGTTGAGGATGGCAAATCCCTGGAGATAGAGGTAAGGTGGTTGTGAGCGACCAGGTGCGGGTGCTGGAATCTAAGCTCTGAGAGAGCAGTGTGTGCTCCTCAGTGATGAGCCATTTCTCCAGCCCCGGTTCCTGCTCTTCTGTGTTCCTGCCGCCTCCACCTTGCAGCTTTGAGATGGTTCACAATTTTACAATAGTGATAGTACTGAAACTAGCTCTTGTCCATAGAAATGCAAATGAATGAATCTCATTTGGAAGTGGACTAAGTCTCTGCTGAGATAGTTTTCCATCTGTGTGCAAATCCAAGTCAGCATTTCTGAGCACCCAAGTATATATGTACAAATAAAATTACATGTGCACACATGTATGCCTGTGTGTCTATGTTGGGGTTGGGGTTGGGGTTGTTCTGTTTTTCATTTGTTTGTTTGTTGGTTGGTATGTTTTTGCCTTTGCTTTCGTCTTGGTACTGGGGAGCAAAACCAGGGCTTTGCACGTGCCTGGCAGGTGCTGTACCACTGGCCTAGATCTTCAGCTCTGTGTTTGTTCTGAAAAAGCCAGGTGTGGTGGTGCATGTCTTTAATCCCAGCACTTGGGAGGCAGAGGCAGGGGAATCTCTGAGGCCAGCCTGGTCTACAGAGTGAGCTCCAGGAGAGCAAGGATTACACCCTATCTCAAAAAAAAAAAAAAAAAAAATCCTCTTTCCTTGTTAAATCATGAGTGAGATAAAAGATTTTCTCACATGTTTATGTACAAATAAGTTGTTCTCCTGCCAAACAAAACCCTTTGAGGGTTGAATGATGACCTGCTCACATGGATGCATAAGAAAGAAAAGACTCTTGCATTCTCTCTCTCACTCAGATCTCCCACTTAACTCGATAGAGGGAATAATTAAATAGCCACTACAACAATCTAGTACTGCAAAAGGAAACAAAAAAAGAAAAAGCGAAAAAATCTAATATGGCCTGCATAGTGTTACAGAGGGGCAAGTGGAACACAGTCTTCCACCTAACCAAGAAGTGACCTCCAACTGACAGTTACTTGCAAAGAAAAAAAAATCAGTTTCACTGATTTTTCAGCAGTAGAGGACCAATTCAAACATACTCAGTGATGGTTTTGAAGATTTTTTCTTCTCATACTGCTTTGTCTGGGCCCTTCCTTCCTTCCTTCCTTCCTTCCTTCCTTCCTTCCTTCCTTCTTTCTTCTTTCTTTTTTCTTTCTTTTCTTTTTCTTTCTTTCTTTCTTTCTTCCTTTCTTTCCTTCTAACTGTCCTTTTGCTTGTATAGTACAGTTCCCAATTTTGTGGTTTTTTTTTTTTTTTTTTATTGATTTTGTTTGTGTGTTTCTCTCTGTGTGTGTTTCTTGTGACTTTTTCCAATTTTTAAATTCTGGTTTGTTTGTTTATTTACCTGTTTGCTTTCTTTCTTTTTTTTTTTTAACCTGTTTGTTTTCTAAGGAGATAAAGCATGGAGTTAGATGGGTGGGGAGGATCTGAATCATCTGGGAGAAGATGATGAGAGAGGGGAAGTTATGTTCAGAATATATTTTATAAATTTTCTTTCTTTCTTTCTTTTTTTTTTTTTTTTTTTGACATGGTTTCTCCGTGTAGCCTTGGCTGTTTCTGGACCCACTTTGTAGACCAGGCTGGCCTTTGAATGCACAGAGATCCACCTGTCTCTGCCTCCCCGAGTCCTGGGATTACAGGCGTACACCACCGTGCCTGGCTTATTTTATTAATTTTCAATTAAAAAATATAATTCATTTCACAGAAACAGCTCCTACTTACCCAAAACAATCCTAAAGTGCTCACCATCCAAGTGCAATATCCAGGTATTGGTCATTTTTGATCTGTTCTCTATATACTTCTTGAAGCTTTTCCCTTCAATGTCTAGAGTATATTTAAAAACATAACCTTTGCCAGAGAGTATATGTATGGTAGCTTTGGTTTTTGAAGGTCCAACACAGAAGGTTTCCTTCCCCACTAACTGGAACATCCACTCTTTTCTTATCTCTTCCTAGATGATAAAATAAAACAGGTTAAAATGTACAAATGGAGGGAATTTTAATATTTAACATTTAAGAAATAAAAACTTTAAGGTGATTATGTTGTTAAATAAGAATGGCACTCATAGGCTCATATGTTTGAAAGTTTAGTTACCAGAAAGTGGAACTATTTGAAAAAAATTATGAGGATTAGGAGGCGTGGCCTTGTTGGAGGAAGTGCATCATTGGGGGCGGGTTTTGAGGTTTTAAAAGCCCCTGCCAGTCCCAATAACTCTCTCTCTCTCTCTCCCTCTCTCTCTCTCTCTCTCACTCTCACTGCTGCCTGTCTTCTTTACATATGAAAAAGCTACATAGATAAAACCAAGCTTCAGGGCTGAAGAGATGGCTCAGTGGTTATGAGCACTAGGTGCTCTTCCAGAGGAATCAGGTTCAATTCCCAGCACCCATATGGCTGTTTCAGCTGGCTGTAACTGCAGGCTCAGAGGTTCTCATGCCCTATTCTGTCTTCAGAGGCACATGTGTGGCACACCCACATGCATACAGGCAAAAACATCTTTACTTACATATAAAAAAATAAATAATAAAAGCCTAAGAAAGCAAGCTTCAACGGGTGTGGTGGCATACACTTTTAACCCCAAGCCCTGGGAAAGCAGAGGCAGGAGGATCTCTGTGAGTTTGAGGCCAGATCTATCTACATAGCAAATCACAGAACAGCCAGGGCTACATAGACTGACCCTGTCTCAGAGAGACAAAGGAAAGAAACAGAGAGGGAGCATCTCTGTGTCATAGTTTACAAAGTCATAGTATGTTTTCCTACCTTCCTATCCACATATACAATGCGTTTTCCTGATGTGGTCCCATGTTCAAATTCAATCTTGTGGACTCCATCACTTAATGCAACGTCCCAGATAGCTACAACATCTTTCATTTTCCACGGCCTATAAAGGGAACAAAGAGAATTAAAAAAAAAAAAAAAAAAAGGAACCATTAAAATGGGCTAAGACAGTAATAGAATAGCTATTAATCTTCCCAAGATGAAAATAAGGGTACTATGTATTCCAGGATGGCTTCAACTTACTACGCAAACCTGATGGTCTAGGTTTGATCCTTGGAACCCATGTAAGTGTGAAAGGAGAGAAAGGGCTCCATGAGGTTGTTTTCTGGCCCCCACATGTGCTTCATAATATACGCCCGAATACATAGTCACATATCACGTGTGAATTTGTGATGGGTGTGTTCTTTATTTATTCACAGCCATGTTCTTTCGTGATAAATGTCAGCCTTTAGCTTCTCAAGTCATTGCCTATGTAAACCTACTTTTGAAGGTGCTTTTCCTAGGCAGGCATGGTGGCACATATCTGCAATTCCAGCATCTGGGGAGGCAGAGGCAGGAGGACATCAGGAGTTCAAGGTTGTCTTCTGCTGCATTGAGGCCACATGAGACCCTGTCTGAATCAAACCAAGCCAAACCAAACCGAAAAGAACTGAACCAAACCAAGCCAAACCAAACCGAAAAGAACTGAACCAAACCAAGCCAAACCAAACCCAAACCAAACCAAACCGGCTAATGGCTTCCCTGGCGAGTAGCAGTGGTTTTTGGTGACAACTGATATAGCGGGTAGTGGCCCTGCCTTCTCGGCAAGGGAGACCTAACATCACTGTGCTGCGTGACATCCTGAGACTGTTGCTGGTCACCTGGTATAGCCTTCCTACCACATGTGAGAGGGATGAGTGCTCCACGCTCAGCCCCAGTGTCCCGGCCCCCGCTGGGTGGGATCTGCAAACCCCAAGAGTGCGAGGTTGGCAAAGTGTTCCCTGTCCAGTGCAGATCTGGGCGTTCTGTCTGTTTCCTCTGCATTCAGATACATTTGGAGATGTTGGGGGGAAGGGGAGAACGCCCCTGAGTTTGGATATTTGCTACTCTGGAATGAACTGCTAAGGGGACCGTGGGAACCTACCTGACCCACAGGCCACGGAGTTCATTGAGACCACAAGTGGCTTCCGGTACAGGACGGAAAGAACCAGTTTTAATGGCAGGAATGAAAAAGAGACTCCAGCTGTAACCCACCACCCTTTCACCTGGCAGGCACCCATAACAGACGATAAGAAAGACCTTTCTGTTGTCAGTTCTTTAAAAACAAACAAACAAAACTTTCTAATTCCCTTCCCTTTTAAATGCAGTAGCTTTAAGTGTATTTCTTTAAAACCATATAATAATTGAAACAAACAATCAGCTAGGGCCTTGTGCATGCCAGGCAGGTACTCTACCACTAAGGTATGTTTCCAGCCCATTTTGGGGTGTTTGTTTGAGATGGGGGGGGAGTGTCTCACTCACTTTCAAAGATTTTTAGACCAGCCTTACTCTACGGTCCAGACTGGACTCAGCTTCCTCGGTGCTGGATTACAGATGGAAGCCACTTTCCTGGCTTTGTTTTTTCAGCCTTTTATGTTTTCATCTTATTATTTCTCTTGCTTTCTTTCTGTTTGTTTTTTTTTTTTTAATCTTTTATTTATTTATGTGTGTGTGAGTGCATGTGCAAAAGTGTGTCTGTGGGGGGGGAGAGTTGCTTGTCAAGTGTTTTCTGTGACTCTCTATTTCTTTGAGACAGGGTCTCTCCCTGAACTTGGGTCTTGTGTTTTCTTATCTATGTTGGGAGCCAGCAAACCCTAGATACCTTCCTGTTTCTGCTAGGCTCAGAGATTGGGTTAAAGGCATGTGACAGATGCCTGGCTTGTAACCTGGGTTTAGGGATCTGAACTCTGGTTCTCATGGCTATGCAAGTGCTCTCCAGTCCTATTGTTATAAAGGTGACAGATAGGCATGGATATAATAGAGTGAGGGACTTCAGCACACAACTCTCATCAGCAGGGAGATCATCCAGACTATAAAGCATGACACTTCAGAGTTAAAATGCATCATGGATAAAACGGACTCCAGAGACGCTTATAAATGATTTCGTTCAACATCTGTGGAGTACATTTTCTTCTCAGTAGCCCACAGACTTTCTTTAAAAAAAAACATTTTTTAAGAAACACATCTTAACTAATACAACAAAATTAAGTAGCTGCTTTTTATTATATCATATGCCAGTGGAGTAAACTAGAAATAAGAGGCAAGGCAAATAGGAATACATAAAGGATGATCAATATACTCTTGTTAATATTATTTTTGGAGACAAAGTCTTACCATCTGCAGCCCAGGTTGTCCTAGAACTTACCACATAGCATTCCTCCTGACTCAAACTCCCCTGGGACTACCAGGCATGAGCTACCATATCTGGCTAACGGGTGCAGTCTTGAATATGTATGTAATGGGTCATTGGTGAGCTAAAGAAGAAAGACATATGTCAAGTATGCCTAGACACCACCACTCGGAAGGCAGTTAAGAGCATCTGCTGCTTTTGTACAGGACCCAGATTTGGTTCCCAGCCCCCACGTGGTGGCTCACACCCCGCTGATGTCCTGACTTCTGTGGTCATCAGGCATGCACATAAATACACAGATATACATGCAGGCAAAAGACACATGCACATAAGATAAAATGAAGAGATCTAAACAAAAATTGTAAAAAAGAATTGACAGATGGGATTTGTGATATTCAAAAGCTCTGCATTGGAAATGATGCATCAGGGAAAGAGGTAACATACAGACTAGAGGGGAATATTTATCAGAACTTCACCCAACAGAGGAGTAATATACAGAATATATTAAGTTTTCAATAAAAGAGAGCGAGAGGAAGGAAGGAAGGAAAGGAAAATAATAATGATTGGCAATTGACCCTATTGTTGGGGGGGATGGGGAGATGGCTCAAAGGTTAAGATCACTGTCTGCTCTTCCAGAGGTTCTGAGTTCAATTCCTAGCAACTACTTGGCAGCTCACAACCATCTATAACTGGATCTGATGCTCTCTTCTGTCATGCAGGCATACATGCAAACAGAGTGTTCATATGTATAGATAAATACATCTTTATAAAAAAAAAAAAGAACCTGTTTTTGGGAATGTAAGATAATGCAGACAACTATGGAAATCAGTATGGAGGTACTTAAGTAAACTAAAAATAAAATTACCATATGGCATGATTAATCAATTACATACTTGAAGAAATCTAATTCAGCATAAGCTAGACATACCTATACACCCATGTTTGTTTGGACACCTTGTGCAATAGTCAAGATAGGAAATAAGCCTAAGTGGCGACAAACATGTAAATGGGTAAAGAAAACAAAGGCCATATAAACACAATGGAATATTATCTGTCCATGAAGAACGCAATCATGCTTTTTACTGGACAATGGATAGAACTGAAAATAAACATGCTGAGGCAACGAAATCACACCTGGAAAGACATACGTTACATCTTTTCTTTCATGTTGAATCTAAATTTAAAAAAAAAAGCAAAATAAACACAACAACAACAAAACAAGGCACAGAAGTAGGAACTATTTGGGAAAAGGAACCAGACCAGCAGACACTAATGGATGGGCGTGCACGGGGGTGGGCTGGGGGTGGCTGTCGTGGGGAATGGACGGTCAAAGCATTAATATCCACTGCTAGAGTCTTTAGGGTAGCATAACTCGTTAAAACCACAGGGAAGCAAGTTGCCTGGTCAGATGCTACTGAGGTCCGGCCATGGCCGCCACAGATGGGTGGCTTCAGGCTGACCCCTGCTCCCCAACCTGGGCTGTGGCCTCACTTGTGCTATAGTGGCCTATGGACCACCTTTGCAAAGCAGCGTGTTGGATCTGATTCCTTAGACTGCAAGGCCTTGCTCCTGCAGCAAGCTTGGGGACCGGAAGCTCTGGAGCATGCGCATGGGAACAGTACAGGTTACCATCTACCGCCCTCAGTTCATTACCCTACCGGAGTAGCTGTCTAACCTGATGCTTAGTTCTCTGCACAAGCCTTCCTCAGCCTGTACCCCAAACATCAAACAAGTCCTGCCCTTTGAGCAACGCCCAACAACAAACGTTGCTAAGAGCCATCCTCACAGAGTGCCTGGCTCCGTTGTTGGGGTGGACTTGGTGGGCAAAAACTCAGGACCCGTGCTGCCCTGAAGCCTAAGGAAGGTAAACCTGCTCATGACATTGGTTCTCTAAACCCACATTCTGGTGTCCCTTCCTTTTTCTCTGCCTTGTGATACTAGAGATGTCTCGTAAATTTCCCAGAGTGGCTTTGAGCTTACACTGTAACCCAGACAGACCTCAAACTTGCAATTCTCTAGAACCCAATCCTTTACTTCCTTAAAGACCCAAACTCCTTAAAGTGTTTGTCCTAAGTGTGTCTGCCTCGGGGAGGCAGACGTAAAATTTTCTCTCCCATCTTTACACAGCCGCCTCTAGAATCATCCCTCTTGACAAAACTCATTTCAGTGATGGGCATATCTAGAGCCAGGCAGAACAGGATTTTGTTCCAAAACATCCACCCGGTGGGAGAGGCAGATGGACCCAGTCACACTCTTATAAAAACACTGATCCCATTCTTGAAGGCAGAACCCCCAACGACCTCCTTACCTCCTAAAGGCCCACCTCTTAACACTTGTGTTGGAAGCCAGGTTCCAACACAGAAATTTTGAAAGGACACGAGCATTCAGACCACCTTGACCCTCAGAACTTCTATGCCCTCAGAAGCCCTCAGTCCCTTCACCTGTGTCTGCCCTGTTGTTGGACCTACTCCCTGGGGACACCTCATTGCTTTGGTAAGGTGGCTGGCTGGTTAATTAGAAAAAAAATTAACAGACACACAAAAAAACAGCCCAAACAACTTCAGAAACATCTTCAGAATGTCCTAGACTCCTATACCAATATTTTGGGGGTGTATTTTAGCAAACAAAATGATACAAACAACCGACTTACAAGATACTGATTTTTGGCTCAGGATTCCAGAGGTGCCAGTCTCCTGTGGCAGGGTTGACATGGTGGATGGGAGCACTTCTCACCATGGTCCCCAGAAAGCAGAGCAGGCAGTTCATGAACATCATGACAGACCTAGAGGCAGAGGGAAGAGGGTACAGGAAGAGGCCAGAGCAAGACAGCATCCAAGGACATGCTCCCAGTAACCTACTTCCTCTAACTAGCTCCATTTCTTACTTTTCACCCCCTGCTGATAAAGCCATAATATACCGTGAATCATCAAGGGATTATACCATTTATTAGGTCAGAGTCCTCTTGATCTACTCTGGAAGCACCATCACACTGAGAATTGCTGCATTAATTCTCTAGGCATTTCTCATTCCAGTCAAGCTGACAGTGAAGATTAACCAACACAGAGAAGACGGGGCTTAGGAATATTTAAGGACAGGGCAGGGGAGAAAAGTGATTAAGGGTTAGGAAGTAATTGGTGGTTTAAGTGTTCATGATCAAACTTTAACAATTACAGTGAGCCAAATGTCAGCTCTGAAATTGGTGATTTTAAAAATCAGTTAAAAGCAAGCAACTAGGAGTACATGAAGTATGTTAAGTCTAGAGAGTTTAGTCTGGAATTAAGAACAGGCAGGACAGGTTAAGACGAAGAATTTGTTCAGTTTTCCTTGGTTTCCTAGGATGCAGGAAGAGGGTGCCATCTTGGATAGGCAAAACAAGCACTCTCTAGATTTTTTAATTATTAATTTTTAATTTTATGTCCATTGCAGTTTTGCCTGTTAGGTCTGTGTGAGGCTGTCAGGTTCCCTGGAACTGGAGTTACAGACAGTTGTGAGAGGTGTTGGGAATTGAACCCATATCCTCTGGAAGAGCAGACAGTGCTCTTAACCACTGAGCCACCTCTACACCCCCCTCTCTAGATTCTTAATCTTCAGGCACCTTAATCTTGGGCTTCTCAGGCAGAACAAAAAACAACAAATTTATGTGGTTTAGAGATTATGTAGTCAGAAGTATTGTGTTATAGAAGCCTGAATGGACTCCACCTTCCAGTTTATTTCTGTAGCTTTATGATAGTGTAAGGTTGTTCCAAGTTTGGGATGGGTATAGTGGATAGCGTTTCTAGGTGCTAAGCAAGCACAGTCTGGAGAGAAGACAGACCTGACAAGAGGAAACAACCTATTGATTAGGTTAAGAGATCTTGGAAGTGCTGAATCCCTAAGCAAACTACACTACAGCCATTCTGCTGAGAGAGCTCTGCTTTGTGCCCAACCTTGAATCGAAAGAATCCCCAAGAGGAAGACTTCATAGCAGCTTTCTCTTTGGTATTTGTTTTTATTTGTAAGATTAAGGTAAATGATTGTTGAAAGAATGAAGAGGGTTTGTGGTGTACAGAGTGGAAGTTTCCAGAGATGGGACAAGGTTGGCTGATCCCAAATCCTTTCTGAATTCCTTTGTAGCAAGTCCTTAATTTTGAGAAACAACTCTAAGTTAGGAGAACCAGGAAACCCTAGTGGGGTCATGGCTCACAGCTTAGAGAAGGATAATATTTTCTCATAAAATTCCTGGAATCTAGCTATCTTTTCTGAGACTAATATGACATAATCTATGAAGCTCTTGCTATGTGATTCTAATTCTCAACAGCACAGTGATTATAGAAATTCTATTTTACACAGGGACCTATAAGCCCTTCAGAAGTTGTAAGCTTTATGTTTGGACTGAGGCACATGGGATTTGAAATGCTTTTGTTAAGAGAGTATATTATTAGAAAAATATTGTGCTTGAAGCAAAATTTGGGCTTAATGTTTGGGGCTCATCCGGAGACAGACTGAAATCTGCACTGAACTGGATGAGGTGACCTGTTAGTTGGCTGTTTCCTCTCTCTATAGTTTCTGGTATACTAGACTTGAACAACAGTTTGGGCTGCATTTTGTATCTGTTCCACAGAGGCAGGACAGCTGTGGGAAGAAGTGTCATTTGTTACCTGACAGGACTATATGGCAGAAAATCATGTCTGAACAAAGCGCCATGAAAGATCTTGAACTTTTAAACATGAAACATTCTTGTTCAGGCTGATGGGGCTTTCGACAAGTCTCAGGTTGCTCCCTGTTTTTTCAGGAAGTACCCAAAGGCTGTTCAGCTTTATATGCTGCCTCTCACCAACTTTCTCAGAGATACCACTGCTTAAAGAGAGAAGATGAAAATGCTTCCATCACAAAACAAAACACAGGATATGTTTTGTTTTGGGTTTCCTTTTGAAATGAATTGGCTGATTTTCCAAATTTAGTTTCTATATGCCTGCCTGCCTACCTACCTACCTACCTACCTACCTACCTACCTACCTATCATCTATCTATTTTTTTGAGGCAGGGTTTCTTTGTGTAGACCTGGCTGTCCTGGAAATTACTCTGTAGTTCTGGCTGGCCAGAACTCCCACCTGCCTCTGTCTCCTCCGTGCTGGGATTAAAGGTGTGTGCCACTGATGCCTGGCCATTTTTTTTTTTTCAACAAGAATGAAGACTGAGATAAAAGGAAAATAAGTACATCCAAAACCCAGGATTTAAAAATTTAAAGTTTCCCTCCCAGTATTGGCTTTGTAATAATGGAAGAAGCATCAGCACTTTGGAAACCACTTATAATTATGGTACCCCCCCCCCTTCTTTTCCTCTGGACTCAGGCTTAAGCCACCTCTTCATCTCCCAATTACGGATCAGGAGGCAAGGTGTATCTACAGATCTACCTTGCTCAATAAAACAAACAAAAAACCAAAATAAAACTAGAGGCATTTCTATGGGAAAAGAAAGTATATGGTCCTGGTTGCTTCTTGGAGGAAGCTGGAAACTCGATATGAATTTATGATGTTTTCAACAGCACAGATTATATAGCAACTGAGCCCTATGAAATAGGTTGACCCACTGAATTAGCCAAACTCAAAGTCTGCCTCCTGGGCTTTCTGTTATATGGCCTAATCCATTACTTTATTGGTTTAAGACAGTTTGAGTTAGTTGTTTTTATTACTAGCCTCAAAAATAATCCTAACTCAGGGATGTTCGGCCTGTGGATGCAATTAGAGCAGCTGGTCTCAGAAGAATGGGAAACTCCCCCCGTTGTTCTGGAAAAGGCAAGCAGTTAAGATTGTGTTCGGGAGTCGAAAATGAAAATCTGCCAGGGCCCATTAGTGTGAATACCCAGATATGGAAAGGGATGGGACAGGGAGTAGAGGGGACAGGAGGAGCCTGGGACATGTTTGCAGGGAACACGTACAGTTCAGGCTCAGAGCGGTTCCACCTGCCTGAACATGGGCTTGAGAGCAGCACCCCTGGAACTCCCGAGGACAGTCAATTAAGTTGATGTTTTAGGTCCGAGGGGGCCCTGATGGAACTTGCACTTTCCTAGACCTTCTGGAAAGGCTTGTTGTCAGTAGCGACACCAGGTGGTTATAAGCTGCAAAAACCGATGGTGGATCCCTGAAACTTGAGGTCTCCCTTCTAGTTTGTGGAAGGTGATTTTCCCTTAAATGTTTTTGATTTCTTAACCCTCTATTAGTTTCTGAAAACAGTGGAAAGGGACCCTAGGTTGTTTGTTTGTTTTTTTTTTTTTCCCTTCAGACAGGGCCTCAAGTAGCCTTGACTTTTGCGATGAAGCCAGGAACGACCTTGAATGATCTCCTGTCTTCTATGTCCTAAATTCTGGAACTGCAGGCACGTGCCCCCACGCTTTAGGAGGTGCTGAGAAATCAAACCCACGGCCTTTGTGCACACTAGGCATTCTTCCAACTGAACCACATCCCCAGTCCCTCTTCCCCACCAGGTTTAGAATCAGTCTTATCTCTCAGCGTGCAGTTTGCCCTCCTGGCTGTACATTAGAAACACTTGGGTGGACCTCATAAACTTTGGACACGTGGGCCCCACTCCAGAGATTCTGATACAATTAACCTGGAGGCTCGAAGATCAAGTTTTCAAAGCTTCTCAGCTGATTCAAACTTGAAGGAAGGTTGGGCCTCCCCTGGCCTCCTCCTTCATCTCTGTAACCGGGAACCCTTCTTACTAGCCAGGCTTATCAGTGTCTAACAGGGCTCCACCTCCCTAACTAGACTGAGCATCGTCAGCCAGGCATCTCAGTACTTCATAGACGTTTGGAAATGTTCAAGGAGAAGGGGAAATGTTATCAAGTGCCAGCCTATACTGGCATTTCAGCGAGGTCTGGAGAGTCGAGAGCGGACAGACGGCTCCCGGTAAAGGCGCGCAGCCCTGGCGTGAGAGAGCCAGCCGTAGCGAGTGCAAGCATCCAGTGATGGCGAGGCAGCCGGGCCTCACTTTTACTCGCGACCGCAAACGCGTACTCCTCGCTTCCCTCGGATCCATCAGTCTCCACGCCGGGGACAAAGCGTCTCCGGCGCCTACTACGACCCAGGGGCCCCAAGTCCGTGTAGGCGGGAAGTCCCGCCCCCATGCGCGGAGCCAATAAGAGAGCGCGGCGCGGACCCCGCCTCCCAGGCGCGCCAGGTGGCCTCCCGCCCGGCTGGGCGGCCCATCGACTGCTTCGGTTCGATTGGTCAGCCTGGCCGCGCTAACGGTCGCGGAGGCGGGGCCGAGGCCGCGGGGTAGGCGCACTGCCGGCTGCAGGCAGTGGCTGAGGTGAGTGGACCCGGCGGCCGCCGAGGGCGTCACGGGGGGCCCCTTTCGGATGCGCGCCCGGACGTGGCCTCTTCGGAGCCCCGAGCGTCCCACTGGCCAGCCAGGGCCCCCCAGGGCGGAGTCGCCCCGGCTGCTAAGGGCCAGCTGGGAATGGCGGGGTCGGGGGCTCCGCGCGCGTGCCGGCGTGGGCGTGGACCGCCCTGCGGGGGCCCGCCCGGCGTTTTGTGCAGCTTGCTCCCCACGCAGCCCCCCTCTCCTCCCTCCCCTCCCGGACCCCGGCTTCCACCCCGAGTGGTTAAGGAGAGCGACCAGGTAGAGGAGGCGGGAACGGGAGCTTAGATCGTTCGTGGGACCGGCTGGGTTGCTCGCTTTGCCGCGCTGTCAGGTGATCGCGGAGGAAAAGGTAGACGAGTACCCCTCCCTCCTCCGGTCAGGCTCAGTACAAATGCAAGGGGAGTTCCGTCTTTATGTGGGGGTCCGCGTTGATTAATGTGAAAAACAGCACAAAGCCTAATCAAGGTTCCCCTTACCGGCAAGTAGTAATTGTTTGTGTTGACGTCACAATGCGGGCGAAGAGAAAGAGGACAACCAAGGTGTCTTTGCCTTCCACCTTGAGACAAGGTCTTTCGTTTTTCTGCATCCTACCCGGAGCGAGCCGGGGAGAGCTGCATTGTCCGCGCTGGGATCGCCGAATTGTACCTTTCATTGGGTTCTGAGGATTGCATCTCAGGCTTTCTTGCGGCTAGAGCCTTTACCCGCTGAGCTCTCCCTCTCTCTCTAGCCTGCCGCTTTATTTGTAACCGTATCAGCGCTACAGGCATTGGTTTCAGCCTTTTGTATTGCATGTATTTTTGTTTTTACTCTGTTGTCAGACAGACCTGCCTCCTCTAACTTCCCTTAGGAAAGGAATTTTGTGAGACTTCGTGCTGCTTCCTGTATTGATCAGGCAGGGGTAGGAAGGAGTTTTACTGGCAGTTTTTTGCCTCTCAGCCCAGGACTGGCCAGTTCTGGCCTTTCTTGTCATCTCCTGGGATGATGGAATGATCTGACTGAGATGATCTCCAGCCCTAACTCTCCCTTTAATTTCAGAACAGTTAACAGCAAGTTGCAATCAATATTGTTGGAATATAATTGTTTGTTTTTAGGCAAGCCCAGTCTGAGGATGAACTCGAACTACCTCTGAAATGCTGGGATTACTGCCAACACCACCACACCAGACAGGGTTTCTCTGTGTAGCTCTGACTGTCCTGGAACTAGCTCTCTAGACCAGGCTGGCCTAGAACTCACAGATCCTCCTGCCTCTGCCTCCCATGGGATTAAAGGGGTGTTATCACCACTGCCCAGCTATATACTTTTATTAATTTTAATAACTTTCACTTTTTACTCTTGGCTCTATTTGCCCTGTAAACTACTTCTGTTCTCTACCTGTTACTCCAGCAGTGTTCCGTGTTACTGACACTCTATATTAAAGTCTGCCTTAGGGTGAGTTTTTCTTCCTGTGACTTTCAAGGTTCCAACCTGTGTCCTGTTAATAGCGCAATCCCCAGATGCCTATAGAGCAATTAAAGAACTATTGGCAAACATAGACTGTGCCAAAATACTTCTTTCCACGGTGGCTCACACTTGTCATCCCGGTACTCAGGAGGCTGAGGGGTGGATTGCTGAGTGCAGAACTAGCCTGGGCTACTTAGTGAGTTCCAGGTCGGGCAGGGCTGAATAGTCTCAGGGCTGTCTCAGAACACAAGCACACACCCCCATTTTTTTTGTTTTCTTTTTTTGGTCTTTTCTTTATCTGTATTCTTTATCTCTCTTTTCTTCCTCCCTTTTTTTTTCTTTTCTCTCTCTTCATTTTCCCTTCCCTACTTTTCTTTTTCTTTCTTTCTTGAGACAAGGTCTCACCATGTAACCCTGGCTGTGTTGGAACTAACTGTGTATACCGGTTTGGCCTCAAACTCGGAGAAATCCACCAGGATCTGCCTCCTGGGTGCTAGGATTAAAGGCCTGCACCACCATCTTCCACTAAACTTTTTTTTTTTTTTTTTACCATTTTGAATTATGTATGTATGCATGGGTGCGGGTGCCCACAGAAGGCCAGAGGAGTTGGAGCTCCTGGAGCTGGAGTTACGGGTGGTTGTGAGCCACCTGGTGTGGGTGCAGGGAATTGAACTTTGGTCCTTTGGAGAAAGAGTACATGCTCTTAGCCACTGAGCTATTTCTCTGGCCCTCCTCTTTTCTTTTTTTCTTTCTTTTTTTTTGAGACAAGGTCTCTATGTAGCTCTGTTTGTCCTGAAACTCACTGTGTAGACCAGGCTGGTATTAATATTGAAGGTGTCTGTGCCACCATGTTTGGCTTTCTTTTCTTTGAGATTGGGTCTTACTGTGTAGCCTAGGCTGTCTGGAACCCATGATCCTCCTTCCTGAGACCCCAAAACTGGGGATTATGGGCATATAATCCCTCCTGCCCCCTTTTTGCTCTATTTGCCATGTACTAAACTACTTCTGCCATGTGCTACCCTCTACTTCAGCAGTCCTACATGTTAATGACACTGCAAAGCTTCTGCGTTGGTCCTAGGATGAGTTTGTTTTCTTCCTGTGACTTCCAAGGTTCCAACCTGTGTCCTGTGGGGGATAAGACTACTACAGATGATTGACACATTTGCATTACTACTACTTTGAAGGCTTTGTGTTAATTTGTTGCAGTAATTCAATGTGCTCTTGAGAAAGCTCACAGATCTTCACTATGGCTCTTTCAAGAGCAGTTAGATGGCTCAGAATACCTCTGTGGGTTGGGAGGGCGAGGAGCTTGATCACAGGTGTAAATGCATTCTGTGCTTCCTGCTTTCACTTGTGTAAACTACACTTGCAAACAAGGATATCTACCCTGAAGCCATATACGAGAATGATAGATTTGGATATCCAGCACATGTTTCAGTAAAGCAATGGGAGGAAGGATAAGGGACAAAGAAAGGAGGAGGCATTTGATGATGAGCTTTGGGCCATTCTTGTTGCTACAGTTTTTCAGACTGTAGTTCCATGGTTACCTGTACCATGGATGCCTGCCTGCCTTGTGAATAACTTAAGACCATTTTGGTGACAGGTGAACATTTCATGGCTTTGCCTTGTATCTTTTTAAACAGATCAAGATCCAGTTTCAGACATGAGACTCATTGGGTGATCATTTTGTTGAGATCAACTTGAATGACCAGGTGTGAACTGCAAGAGGAGTTGCTATGACTGAGGTATGTCCAGTACAACGAACGAGTTAGGAGAGATCGCAAACAAAATGCACTGCATATTATGCTAGGTGATAAGTTACATGGCCTTTCTCCTTTTGACTACCTGATAATTCTGTCAAGTAATATTAATAGTTGAAATGTGGTGAGAATACTGAAGTCCAACGAAGTTAAGTAGATGGCAGCTGTGACCTGTTGTGAGGCGGGCGCTACGTTATGCTCGCTGTGTAGTGAGTCTCCTAATCTCTGCAGTACTTCTGTGAGATAAGTACTTGTATTCTTTTGTTTGTTTTTTGATGAAAAAATCAAAGCACGGAGGGATTTGTAGCCCCTCGTTGTGTGGCAGAAGCCCCAGGAGTCTGGTTAGAGTGTATGCTAGCTTTTATTTTTTATTCTTGGTTTGTTTTGCTGTTACGATTTGGCAAATGTCCCAAGTGGCTAGCTGAGAGCTCCTTTGCTTATATAGAAATCTTGAATAGACAAGCAGCAGTTCCCTTACTGTTTAACCCTGGACTCTAAGCTTTGGGGACTAGAGGCTTAGGGCTCCAAGCTTTCAAAGCCTTCGTGTGCCAACACGAGTGGTTACAGTTAAGCTCTTGAGCCCTGGCTTTTTAACCTGTGATCTTGAATACTCCTCCTAGTGCCTGGGGCTCCTGGTCCTCATAGTCTCAGCTCCTGCCTTCAGTTCTTCATAGACCCTCAACTTTGACATTCTTGCTTTTACAGTACATCTCATCCTGTGGTTTTAGCATCTTGTTCTTTCTGCTCTTGGTTGTTCTCTGGAATTCTCAGCTGCTTCCTAGTGTAATAGTTCTGGGTATAATGTTCTTGGATTTCAGTGGCCCAGTGGAATTTTTCACTGACTCCTATTGTCTTAGCTCTTGGTGGATTTCAGAAACCTTTTGGCTGTCTCTGCCATGGCTAGAAGTTTGGGGTTTTTGTCTCATTTTTGTGCAGCCAGTTTAATTAGGTCTTCCTGGGATTAAAGTCTACAAGTAGGCAAGAGACCATTTGGGAGAAGACTTTATTCAGCCTAATATTGCAACATGGGGTTGGGGGCTTATGTTATCTCACAGGAGAGAAGCCTCCTGACTCACCTGGAAATGGTGAAAATGGCATGCTTATGTAGCTATAAGAGGGGCCTGGCTTGCTTGGGTATAGGCTGTAATTTTAACAATTTTGATGGTTAGTGTTGTTAACTTGGCAGAATCTAGAATCGCCTGGGAGACTGGCTTCTTGGCATGCCTGTGGGGAATAATCTTCTTAATTACATTAAATGAGGCCAAGAGCTGGGTGGCACCACTCCCTGCTAGAATGCTGCATAATCGCGTGGAGAAGGGAGCTGAGTAGCATGTCTGCATTCATTCCTGTTTTCTGATCATGGCTTTGATGGGACCAGCTGCTTTAAACTTCTGGCTTCTTTTGACTTCAGTGGATGACACCTTGAACTATGGGTTAAAATAAACCCCCATCTCTCTCTTGTTATTTATTTTTTTGAGAAAGAGTCACTGTGTATCTTTATCTGGTCTGGAACTTGCTAAGTAGAGGAGGCCAGCTTCAAACTCAGAGAGATCTGTCTGCCTAAGCCTCCCAAATTTTGGGATGAAAGGTGTGCACCATCACACCCATTGATAAATTGTTCTTCAGAGGCCCTCTGTGGATAGGGTCCTGTCTTATTTCCTGTTTTCACCTTCCGATGTCTATCTCATTTGTCTTTCTGAATGAGGATTGAGCATCTTACCCAGGATCTTCCTTGCTTAGCTTCTTTAGGTGTACAGATTTTAGTATGTTTATCCTATATTATGTGACTAATATCCACTTATAAGTGAGTATGTACCATGTGTTCTTTCTGCTTCTGGGATACCTCACTCAGGATGATCTTTTTTAGTTCCCATCATTTGCCTGCAAATTTCATGATTTCCTTGTTTTTAATTGCTTAGCATTCCACTGTGTACCACAATTTCTATATCCATTCCTCCGTTGAGGGACATCTGGGTTGTTTCCAGATTCTGGCTATTACAAATAAAGCTGCTATGAACATGGTTGAGCAAATGTCCTTGTTGTATACTTGAGCATATTTTGGATATATGCCTAGGAGTGGTATAGCTGGGATCTGGAGGTAGCACTATTCCTAATTGTCTGAGAAAGTACCAGACTGATTTCCAAAATGGTTGTACAAGTTTCCATTTACACACCCAGCAGAGTATTAAAGCAGATGCTGAAACTCATAGCCAAACTTTGGGCAGAGTGCAGGGAATCTTATGAAAGAAGGGGAGATTGAAAGACCTGTAAGGGTCTGGAGCTCCACAAGGAGAACAATAGAGACAAAAAATCTGGGCCCAGGAGTCTTTTCTGAGACTGATACTCCAACCTAGGGCCATTCATAGAGATAACCTAGAACCCCTGCACAGATGTAGCCCATGGCAGCTCAGTCTGCAAGTAGGTGTCCTAGTAAGGGGAACAGGGACTGTCTCTGACATGAACTCAGTGGCTGGCTCTTTGATCACCTCCCACTAGGGGAGAGGCAGCTTTATCAGGCCGCAGAAGAAGACAATGCAGACAGTTCTGATGTGAGACCTGATAGGCTAGGGTCAGATGGAAGGGAAGGAGGACCTCCGCCATCAGTGGACTAGGAAAGGCCATGGGAGGAGATGAGGGAGGTAGGGAGGGCGGGATTAGGAGAGGACGAGGGTGGGGGCTACAGCTGGGATACAAAGTGAATAAACTGTAATAAATAAAAAATTAGATTAAAATATTACTTTTAAAAGCATATCACAGGTGTTGCACATCTTTAATCCTGGGACTCAGGAGGCAAAGGCAGGCCAGGGTTATATAGTAAGACTCTTGTCTCAAAAAACACAAAACAAAAATTTAGAACACAGATAAAAATACATTTACATGTTTCTTGTATGTGTGTGCCAACATTCTTATGCTCCTGTGCATGTGGCAATCAGAGGACAACTTGACTGGATAAGTCGATTCTTTACCTTACATGTACATGGAGTCAGGTTGTGAAGCTTGGTCTCAAGTGCCTTAACTCACTGGCCCATCTTGTCAGCCCCTTAAATTGCTTTGGTCCAAGTATTTTATCACAGCAATAGGAAAAGAAACTAAGAGACCAATTATACCCACAGCTGCACAATTTCTAGTTCCGTTGATCACAAGCTTACATATGTACCAACCACATTCCTCGATTGGGAACCATTCATGAGCCATGTTACACCAAAACAACAGCTTCTTTTCATCTATGGGGAGGTGCTTTCTCTTCCATTCCGGGTGAAGATAGTTGTACCGTGATCAGAATCGCCTGGAGCCGGCCAAGCTCCTCGTGCCTGGAGTGCAGTCTCAACTAGCCTTCTGCCTCCAGAGGCAGGGTGGGTTGACACTTTGCCAGCACTTGTGGTTATGGTGTTGCCATGGTCTTTGCAACTGGAGAAGGCCTTCAGAGTGATGATGGAGTACTCACCATAGCATGACTGCCCTGAGACAGTGCAGGCGGTCATCAAAGAGCTGATTGGTTAGGAGTAACTCCCTACTCAAGGCAACTAGGCACAAAAGGTTTGACAGCTGTCAGGTGAGAGGTGGAGTGGTTTCTTGCTAACTAAAGGAAAATTTATTGAAGGATGCTTATAATAAAGACCTATCATAAGAGTTAACTTTTTTTCTTTTTGGCTTTTCAAGACACGGTTACTTTGTGTAGCCTTGGCTGTCCTATAACTTGCTTTGTAGACCAGGTTGGCCTTGAACTCACAGAAATCCACCTGCCTCTGACTCCCAAATGCTGGAATTAAAGGCATGCACCACCACCTCCAGGACATCTTTCTTCTTCTTTTTATTTCTTAAGTTCTTTTTGTTTTGTTTACAACACAAGTCCCTGATGCCCTTGAACTTACTACTTAGCTGAGACTGACCTTGAACTTCTGATCTTCCTGCTTCTACCTGGTGTGCTGGATTTACATGCATGTATATGTACACTTCATATGGGAAAGTCAAGATAGAACTTGATTTTTTTTTTTTTTAATTTTCACAGTAACTTCTTTTTTCCAGTAGTTCTTTTTGCAATATTAGGGCTCATATCCAGAACCTTGCACATTGTAGGTAGGCATTGTAGCTTTGTGCTACAGCCCCAGGCCTGGTTCTTGATCTTCTGAGGACATTTGTTGTTCTTTCAGTATGAAAAATGTTAGGATAGATGCAGACATATTTGCTGAGTTTTAGTTGATTACAGTGGTCATCATTGTTAAAGCTCAGATTGTTTTATATTGTAGCTAGTGGAAATCTATCTACTCAGTAAGCCTACCTTTGGCTGTCCTGGAGGGACAGAGTTACTTTGTGTAGCCCTGGCTGTCCTAGAACTTTTTTTGTAGACCAGGCTGGCCTCCAACTCAGAGATCCACCTGCCTCTGCCTTCCTTTCCTGGGTACCAGGATTAAAGGTGTGCTGCCACTGCTGGCAAGATTTTATTTTTAAAGTGTGTGTGTGTTTAGATAGGTAGGTATGCATAGAAATGAGAGTGCCAGAGGAGGCCAGAAAAGGACATTGGATCTCCTGAAACTGGAATTACAGGCAGCTCTGTGCTGTGAGATGAGGTTTCTGGAATCTGAATTTGGGTCCCTGGAAGACCAGTAAACACCTAACCACTGAGTTATCTCTCTAGGCAAAATCCCTTGGAGCTGGAGTTACAGGCAGTTGTGACTTGCCTAAGATGGGTGCTGTGAACCAAACTCAGGTCCTCTAGAACAAGTGCCCTTGACTGCTGAGCCATCTCTTTAGCCCCAGCAATGCACACTGAGGAATGGGCCAACCCTTGCATAAATATCTATAGGCTTCTTGAATAAAATCTCCAAGGTTCCTTTGTTTGAAGGAACTATTTGCTGAAACAGTGACTCCACTAATCTCTTGGCTTGTTGTAGGTAATAACTTTTTCTCTCCATTTTTGTCTTGGCTGTGCTTTGCACTCAAGATATGGATCCATTGCATTTGGTTACAGAGAGACTTTAAAATATTCATTAGAAGGAAATGGTACTTTTGACCTTTTGGCAAGGATGCTTATTAATTTAATGATTTAAGTTTGAAAGTAATCTATGTTTTTAAGAGGCAGAAAACAAGTACCCAAGCTAGTGTTTTGTCATCTTTCCTAATTTATCTTCAACCTTTGGAGTTCTCCATTTCTCATTTTCCTTTTCTCTATTTTTTCATTAAAATTCCTGAAAGCCAACACTATTTGTGATGGTTAATATTGTCAACTCAGCAGGAACTAGAAGCAAGTAGGAGACAAGCCTTTGGGTTTAGTGTGGGGATTACCTCAATTAGATTACTTATAAAGAGAAAGATGTGCTTTTACTGCGGTCAGTACCGTCCTGTGGGCTGGGATCCTGAATGGAATAACAGAACACCCATAAGCAGAGCAGGGGCTTTTGCTGCTGACTGCAACTGACTGGTCAGCACCGCTAGACCTCAAGCTTCGGCAGCTGTGCTCATTGTGGTCTTGTACCCTCAAACGGTGAGCCGAAATAAACCTTTCCATCCTTAAGTTTCATTTGTTAGGTATTTTGTCATAGTAATAAGACAAGCACCTACTATGTCATTTATCACCTAATTTTTTAGACTTGGAACACTCTGTGTGTGTGTGCACGCTTGTGTATATGTGTGTATGAAGATCAAACTCAGGATTCATGAATGCTAAGCAAGCACTCTACCACTGACTATACCTCCATCCACAAAGAAAACAAAATTTAAATAAGTTTTAAGTTAGCCAGGCATGGTGGCGCACACCTTTAATCCCAGCACTCTGAGAGGCAGGGACAGGCAGATCTCTGTGAGTTCGAGGCCAGCCTGGTCTATAAAGAGTCCAGGACAGCCAATGCTACACAGAAAAACCCTGTCTCTCTCTCTCTCACACACACATATGTTTTAAGTCACAAATGTACTCAATTCTCAGGTGTAATTGAGAGTATTTTGCATCTCTCTGGTTGATTCTCATGAGGAAATATCCAGTATAAAGTAAATTACTAAATGGCACTTACCTGTTATCCCAGTTCTAAGGAGGATGAAGCAGGATTGCCAATATATCTATCTGTTTATCTGTCTATCCATCTATCCTCCATCCATATATATATATAGAGAGAGAGAGAGAGTCTGTCTCAAAGAAAAATGTTTAAACATTGAACATTGTAGACATAGTTGTTTTTATTCTATATGCTTAATAATTACTGCATCAGAATCTATGTGTAGATTACTTTTGTTTCTGTTATCTTTTTGTCTTTTAATGCAGCCTTTTGTTGCCTTTTTTTTTTTTTTTTTTTTTTTTTATTCTGTAGTCCAGGCTGTTTCTGGAACTCATGTAGCTGTCCTGGGGTTTGGATTTTACTGTTGTTTGTAAAAAGAACTTTTATTCGCCTGGTTTAATTGTTGTCTTGGAGGCTTACTGCCTCTGTCTGCTAACCGACGCCTAGTCCTGGAAGCTTCTAGGTCCATACAATCTAACCTAGGCCTAGAATGTTTTCAGCCTCTGAGAATTACTGCTGAATAAGCTCACTCTTCCTTGTTCAGCCAGGTCTGGGCTGGCTGGACTCAACTCAGCTGTTTCGTCTCAAACTCTTCTCCCAGCTGACTTATTCAACCTATCTTTTCTCTTGGCCTCTGAATTGCTCTGCTTGACCTCAAACTAACTCCAGCAATCTGCTCCAGTCTTCTGGCTCCTTCTCATTTTCTGGCTTGTTCTGTCTTTACCTGTGTCTAGCTTATTCTCTTTCTGCAACCTGTCTCTCTATTACTGTCCCAGTAAAACTGCCTACTTGGTCTATATAGCAAATTCCAGACAGCCAGGGTATGCTATCTAGGAAGTAACAATATTTACATGAAGGTATCCTAATTTTCTCTGTAGAATTTCCCTGTAAGAATAGTGAATTCTTTTTTTGTTGGTTTGTTGTTTTATTTTTTTCTCTGTGTAACAACTCTAGCTGTCCTGGCACTTGCTCAGCAGACCAGCTCACAAAAGATCTACCTGCCTCTGCCTCCCAAGTACTGGGACTAAAGGTATGCGCCATCACCACCTCATCAAATAGTGGATTCTTTTAAATATAATTTTTGGGGCAAATTATTAAAAGACATTTTAAATACAGATTTTTGGGGTTTTTTTGTTTTTTTTTGTTTTTTTTTTGAGGCAAGATCCATACATAGCCCAGCAGGCCTTGAACTCAGAGACCAACCTGCTTCTGCCTCCTAAGTACTAGGATTAAATATAGATTGAAAGCATGAGGATTAAGAAGGAAAGAGGCACTCAGGAAGGAAGACATACTTGAGAACATGGTGCGTGTTTGTCTAAGAGAGTGTGGTCCTACATACAATTTCCTTTATCTTTGTATCTAGGAATGACTTTGCAGTTCGCTTTTCCTGCCTCCACTCCTGAGTCCTTGGATTATAGGCTTGATGCAGATTTGGAGAATGAGCCCAGCACTGTACGTGTGATAGACAAACATTCTACCAGCTGAGCTACAGCCCCAGACCTCTTGTAACTTATATTGCACTTTTTTTTTTTTTTCATTTAGGGAACTCAAATTTCATTATTGCCCGTCTCTACTTTGGATTCTACAGAAGAAACGATGTCTCAAACACTACCTACATCTCAGGATTCTAGCCAGTTATTATACAGGCTCATGGTTGAAAAACAGGTAAACTTAAAATATTCTAGGTTTCTACTTCTCAAAGTAAACACCAAAAGAGTACTAGGTGTACAAGCATGAAAATTCTGACTTGAATTTTTTGCATTTATTTTTTTTATTTTTAATTTTAAAAAATTATACAGTACTCTGCCTGCATGTGTGCCTGCATACCAGAAGACGACACCAGATCTTACTATAGATGGTTATGAGCCACCATGTGGTTGCTGGGAATTGAACTCAGGACAGCCAGCGTTCTTTGGAAGAACAGTGTGTGTGTGTGTGTGTGTGTGTGTGTATACACATATATAAAACTCCTTCCTTCCTTCCTTCCTTCCTTCCTTCCTTCCTTCCTTCCTTCCT